ATTAAAGATCAATTGAATACCTAATTTAATTTTAATATCAAACAAAACTTATAGTTATAGATAGAATTTCGAACCCAATCGTATGAACGGTAATATATTGATTTGAGATAATTCGATCTGATATTTTAGAACATTGATTTTACGAATGATAAGAAAATATAAAGTAAATTATAATGCGTTTTATTTTCAAAATGCTTAAATACTTATTAAAAAAACAGCAATAACGAAATGACGCTGATCTAATATCTCCAAAGTAATGAGAGAAATCAAGTGACATTTGAATAATATTCATTTGCAGTCATAGCCTTTTTTTTATTAAATCGCCATCAAAAATCCTCGGACATGTGACATTTGACCAAAATATGCTAACACCTTAATAAACGTATTACAAATAAGATTTCACCACTCAAAAAAACGTCCTCTGAATAAATAGTAAAAACGGAAACTTGAGGGTGTGACAAATATTTTATTATACTCACGTGTCCGAGGATTTCAACAACATCATATGATCCATAACGTGATTTTAACCAAATTATTATAAATACGTGAAAACTAACCCTTCCTATTTATTAGCTTTTTACGTATTCTCTTGAAAACAAACCTTCCTATTTATCAGCTTTTTACGTGTTCACTTGGAAACAAACCCTTCCTTCTTATTTATTAACTTTTACGTGATTGTTTTCTTGAAATCAAACCCTTCCTATTATTAGCTTTTTACGTGCTCTCATTAAAACATACCCTTCCTATATTAGCTTTTTACGTGTTCTCGAAAACAAACTCTTCCTAATTATCAGCTTTTTACGTGCTCTTATAAAAACAAACCCTTTTTTAATCATTACCAATATCAATCACTAGTTAATTAACAGCTGCTTATTCATTTTAGTTTTTTTATATAAGTAAGTATAATTTCAATGTATTTATGTAAACCTGGTGATCAGAGATCTTATAAAGCCTAGGGTTTCACCTTCCTGAGGGATAGTTGTGTCTTCTTCCTCCGTGTGTTGATATAAATAGCTCATAGCGACTTTCGAAAAGACGTATAAAGTTCTGGTTTTTTGAGTCAGTGTTTCCAAGGTTTGTAAAGCCATTTGCGGTATGCCTTCCATTATGGATAGTGATGTTACTACGAATCATCTGCTATCATTTTCTCTCTCTTTCTCTCTCTATTCTACATAAGATCTGATGCAGTGGCTTTATATTGTCGGAGGAAAGTTTCAGAATAAATACAGAAATGTTACTAGAGAAATTTATACTAAGTCTTTTGATATTCTTTTATTATACTACTGTAGTTGAAATAAGTTGACAGATATGATCATTATGGCTTGTATTAATCACGCATTTGGATACTACTACTTAGTTGGAATAACAATTTAATATACCTTAATTCTACCTTTAGGCGCAAAATTATGCGGAAGTATTGGAGGTAATTTTAGCAAAAGGGTATGGCCTTACTAAATTTTTTGGGAATATTAATTTTCCTTTTTCAGAAATACAACAGGCAGAAAAGATATTATTCGAAACTTTGATTATTATTGTAACTGGGGTGGTGAACAAGCCTCGAAAGCTCTTTACATACTTGACAAATTTGATGCACACATCAATACCAACGATGTTAAAGCTTTTGGAAAGATATCTATTAAAGTTAAAACTCGTAGTAATCAATTGATATTAACTGAAAAAAAGGTGAGTACACTGCATCATTCACTTCTTCATAATGATGATTTTTTTTTTACATTTTTCTTTTTGGAAAATCAGAAACAACAATTCATTACAAGTCGAATCTAACATAGTTGAACAGCATTTCATTGCATGCGATAATTTGTTATCTGAGCATAAGGTTTGTAAATATAGAATATAGATTCTAGTTCATTAATCTTCTACAGTATTTAATGTTGTTATGTCCATTTAGGAATATATATCCACAGATGTGGATTATAATCAGAAAGATTTTAAGAACGATTACGGTAAACAAGATGGTAATGTTGAAGAAATGAAGAATTCAGATTATGAGAATTTTACGGAAAGGTACCAAAACATGGATAATGATAGGAAATGGAAATTAACTACTGGTAAGATAGTTGAAGACAGCCTTTTTGAATTTTGGATGAGGTGTAAGTACGAACAGTAAGTATTCAATCTATTTTAAATGATGCTAGCATAATGTTTCTAATATTTAACATGGATTGTTGAGAATGTTTTCACTTTGAAAGAACTGAACGAAATCAAGGAATATAAATATAAGAAACTCCCAGATATGACGACAGATTTGTTGCGATATTTAAACAGTTTTCGTAAAGTAAGCATTATTATAACATTTCACTACTTTGTACAATTATTTTAACAATTCTTCATGTTTTGAAATAGTATAATACTCGAGATCTTAGAAAAGCTGTGTTTGAAACTCAAAGTTGGTATATGCCCTTTAATCGTGATACTCATTTTGATTTGACTGGGTTCGAAATTCTATCTATAACTATAAGTTTTGTTTGATATTAAAATTAAATTAGGTATTCAATTGATCTTTAAT